TAGTCACTTCTTTACAAAGTGTGTCGTCACTAGCTCTTGGTGCCGTCATGGCTGTTGATCTACTACAGACAGCAACTGAACTTCACGAACTTCATAGACAAACGAGACGTATTTTATCCAGACTTTACGTTCAAGGACACTCGACAGATTCTAGGAATTTCAATTTACTCGTGGCAATGCGAGAATTGTGCAGCTCCGACGTATTGGATCAACGTGGACTTAATTTGAAGAAAATCCAAGTACGTTCGTGCATTGACCACCGCCTGTCCGAAGAGGGCAGATCGCTACTTAGTAGACTCGAGCGGATTTCAGCTACCAGATCAGCGGCGAGCTCAATTCCACATAATCTTAACACATTTTCACGGATCAGCTCCAGAAATACTCCAGAGGATCCAGGCAATTCATGGGACTGGATTAGGTGCTGCGTTCGGAGAATTAATACAGTCGCACCACTTACTGCGCAACCAACTCATTGTGTATAGAGGATATCCCACCTAAGTTCGCTCGAAAGATCGAGAGTAGAATTGCAACCCAAGCGAAGAAATCGATCATTATTCAAGAAGCGCTCCAAGTCCTCTTCACGTCGGAGTGCCTTATTCTTTCCGAGTATTTGGAGATTTTCGTTCCTACGGTCTATGGTGCATTCGCTCTCGCAATGGTTCATTCCCCCAACGCTCAGTATCATACAGATTTGGCCAGTGTGACGCGTGACAATGTTGATGGAATCGTCTCTCGAATATTTGTTTATGTTTTAATGGAGCTCGTATCTTTCGTTGTGCTAGCTGTAATCACACAGCGAAATTGCGGAATCAACGCGCTGTATCAGCTGGCGTTTGTGTTGGAGACCCAAATGCTCGTTGTCCAGTCGACGTTGGTGATGTGGATATTGATGACCCTGACGTATCGAGTTACTCATTTTGGTAAGTCGGGTTTGCAGATGTCATTTTGTAGGTGAAGGCTGACACTTTTTCTCTGATGTACGGTAGGCTGTGATTTTTCATTCCAGTTCAGATGGATCCATTCAACAACTACCTAAAAAAAAGTGAAAACAAAATGACTTCCGCGAAAACATTTTGGAGAGTTCAAGGTAGACGCAAAAAACGAGAAGCAAAATATCTACACCGAGACAATGGCGCCGTTTATTGCAACTCGGACACCGCCACCATTTGGAGAGCAGCAATAAAAAAAGAACGAGTATAATGCCCAGGTTTTTTTTGCATAGCCGCGCGAATTTAACCTGTTTTATCTCCTGATTTGAATTTGGCAGGGTAAAAAACAGGCTGTAAGATAAAATTTACCTGTAATAAAACCGTAATATAAATAAATGGATGTTCTTTGTTTTTCTGCAGCTCTTGAATACTCACTAAATGATTCATAAATAGATCTGCGCGTCCATTTTATATCGAAGTCGGGCTCCAAAGTAATTATGGTGCTTGGACGACATCCGGCTGCAAGCTGAGCTGTAGCTCCGTGTTCGTTGCGTGTCCGGTTACATACCAGGTTGCGCACCAGGTGTAAGTGCAGGTGTAATAAGATGGATTGTATCCTTTCCTTTTATTTTGGTGTCAGGATTTACACCAGGTTTTTCAAACAGGTTTCTGCCAGGTTTTCGAACTTGTTTTTTTTTCAATACTGCTTTGGTTTTAGGCTGGAAACCAGGTTGATGCCGGTCGCTTACCAGGTTTGAGCACTTTGTGTTTATTCAAGGCGTCGATAGCTTCTTCACGTTTTCTTTTCATGTCTGGTGCGTCTTTTGCACAGGTACTTACGCTATAACGGGAATACGTACACATCAATTACACAGAGTAAACAAATGTATTACAGAT